CACCATCTAGCGATAACCAACACCTTTTAAATAATATCCCCTGTCACACTTCCCTTTTCCACAGGAAATGTTTGTCTCAGGACACCTGAGAAAAGGATGGAAATTTAGACTTTTGTATTGCATCTCTACACAATAAATGAAACACTGTATTGCCAGATAATTCATTGTACACACGTCAGAAACGACTAACAAAAGATCATTTATTGCTTGTGTCTCAGCATGCTCGAGCGCCAGACCATGACATTGTGTGGACCTCCAAATCTACCAGTTCCAGACGTGCATTGTGTCCACTAGTGATATTCTGTGCATTACAGATACCTCTATTTCATTTACAATAAGTAGGCAGTGAAACAAGTGCCAGATGATCTCTTTGCCCAGTTCGTTTTGTAAGTGCATGTTTGAGCTCTGTTATTTTCAAACAGGCACATTCACAGTGAGCAAGCTACATTTTGACGTCATTGCTTGTTGTTTCCTAGTTATTACAAGTCTATGGCTTTTGTATAATTGATCTTTTATTCTGGGCACAATTTTCCTTATCCAATTGGTGTATCACCTGCATCAACTGTATTCCTGAGCAGGCTAGATTCAGAGCAAGTTCCCTCTATTCTGTCCCGAATGATATGACGTGCGCCAAATGTGGGGCATTTTTGGCTAATTTAATATTTTTCATCTCTCAAGACTTGTTAAATCAGAGACTTTCTAAACAAAAAAAATTCAAATCAGGGACGCCCTCCTGACGTGAAAGGCGCAATACAAATATAATCTTGTTGTTGTTGTAGCTCATTCATAGGATCATCCTCATTGTTGTCCTCTGCAAGAAAACATCAAGAACTTTAATCATTCACCCAACAGAATAAGTGTTGTCAGCATTAGATGTAAAATAAGGATGGAAAAGGGAGAATTCTTCCAAAACAAAGTTGGAAGAAGGGCTCTCCTCCAGATACATAATTTACTTAAAATTCTAGTTTGAGGCAAGAACACTCCAGAAGAGTTCATGTATTAAAAATATAGATATACATTTATTGTACCCCCATGTGGACTAAATACCAATGAAAGTGGTTGTGGAGCCATTGTCTTTGAGAAAATAAATTTCACTGTTATTTATTGATACCACCTTCCACTATTCTACAGAGCGTATCACTGGCAGGAAGTAGAATCATTGTGCAAAGGAATGAGTTACGTGCTCCACAAATATGTGACAAGATTTCTTTCCTGTTTGTAAATTAAATATAGTCAAGATTTTTGTTTTTAAAAACTCACAAATATCGACTGCAGTTTAAGAGTTGTTGAGTTAACTATTACCCTCTACTTACAGAAGTGATGGAGTACATGATAATTCTGGTGTTGGTCACTTTGAAACCTTTAGGCCAATAGTTTATAGCTGTAGCTTCAGAATTGGCATAAATATGTTTTATTAGACCCTTACACTGAATTTACTTTAAAAGTAGGACAAGCCACGTTTTGCTCACAAAATAGTCAATTCACTTTACAGTATATTCTGTGAAGCACTTTGAGATGTCTCGAAGAAGTGATAAGATGCAATATCAAATGGAAGTATTATTATTATTATTATTATTATATTGTGTGCAGGCCGCTATTGCAGATCACTCGGTGCATCAAACTATAAAACTTCTCTGGAACCTATCAGTTCCTGTTGCTTGCTCTTAGTTACAGTTTTAATTTTGCTCAGGTAGTTATGTCAGGAGTTTTTATATTGGGTTAGTTTATGGTGATAGTTGGTAGTAGAAGTGAACCATAACTGTTCGCATTAGTTGGATTCATGCTCGTGTCATCCGCAGACATGGGATTAATTTCCACATGTATGCAGATTATATTCAACTCTACTTTGCCATCTCCAGATGCGACCCCCAGTCCCCTGATGTTCTGTCAGCTTGTCTGTCGGACATCAAGAGCTGGATGAGTGCAAATTTCCTGTAGTTAAACATCAACAAGACGGAAGCCATACTCTTTGGCTCCCACTGATGTCTTCTGTCCCATGATTCCGACCCCTCAACCTACCCGACCTGTCCTTGAAACTCTCTGAACCCGTGTGCAACTTAGGCATCAGGTTCAATCCCCATTTATCCTTTATCCACATCCAATCCCTGACCAGTACCACTTTCTTTCACCTCCGCCATATTGCCTATCTCCGACAATACCTCACCCCAAAAGCAGCCAAAACCCTTGTCCATGTCTTTGTCACTTTTCGACTAGACTACTCTAATGCCCTCCTCGCCAGTCTCCCCTCCTCCACTCTTCACAAAACTCACCCGCACCAAACTTCATACCCCGATTACTCCAGTCCTTGCCAAACTCCAATGGCTCCCTGTCACAGAGTGGATCGACTTCAAGATCCTCACTCTAGTGTTTAAATTCCTCCATTCCTTGGAGCCTCCCTATCTCTCTAACCTCCTCTCGCCCCACAGCAGTACCCACTGCCTCTGCTTTACTGCATCTGGCCTCCTCTGTGTCCCCCGAATCCTCCGCTCTACCATAGGCAACCTTCAGCCACTTTGCCCAGAATCTTTGGAACTCCCTCCCTCAACCCCTTCACCTCACCCCCTCCTTCCCCATCTTCAGGTCACGCCTGAAGACCTTCCTCTTCGACCGCGCCTACGGTCACTTTCCCCCTACTCCTGGCTCAGCCTTTGGCTCCGCCATTGTTAAGTGCTCTGGGACGCTGCCCAGCGTGGAAGGCGCTGTATAAGTGCAAGTTGCTGTTGTTGTTGGAAGTCAAGACGTACGTCCTTGTGAAGGCAAAGGTGTGTAAATGTAAATTCTTGTTGCTGGACTAGGCCCAACACGCAATAACGTGAAGTGGACATTGATTTTCTTGTTTGAAAATGCCGCAGAGAAGATATCTTGCCAAACCCGTGTGTGTTTTTTCTGCAGTGTTTTCTTTCTCTCTGCTACCATATCGATATGTGATTTGGATAGGTTTTCTTTTGCGGTACATCACCAAGGGTCACACCAAACCTCTTCCTCCCATGCCCACACCACCCCAACCCCCACCCCTCGCCGTAAACACCTTCAATATAATACCCTATTTAGAATGCATAGTAAGCAGCAATTCCAATCAATGCTTAAGTCCAGCATAAATCAGATTTGACAATTCAATTGAGTCCCACTCGGGAGATACTTTCAGGAGTTGAATCGATGCATAAATCAATTTTTTTTTGTTACTGCAGCTGGCCATAAACTTTTAAGCTTTAACAAAATGTAATTTAAAAGTTCCTTAAATGCTGTTTGCTATTTAATAACAATAGAAAATGAGCTGCCACTCCGCATAGGTTAGTGGAGCCTGCACATGGCCTCAGTTGCTCATCTCCTTGGCCTGCTGTGAGAGGCATTTTGAAGCAGGAAGTATAAATCTGGTTTCCTGCACCTAATCACTATACTGCTAGAAGCGATGATGAATCGTTCCTGCCATATAAATAGAGCATTAGCTTAGAAACTTCCTGAGGATACAATATAGATCATAATAAAAGGGCAGAGCTGCCTGGGTTCCACGTATTTGCTGTTTATAAGGATTATTGAAAAGCAATGTGTATTTGATCTCTGCGATAAAGATTTCTAATATTTCAATGAACTGTACTTGTTTTTGTGGAGAGGAGAGAGATCATCAGGATATTGGGAACTGTGGATTCGGAGGAGGCATCTAAGATGTAGCTAAGAAATAGATGTTCATCTGGGCTGATACTTCCAAATAACAACAATGCCCTTCACATGGGATAACATCTCAGAGGACTGTAAATAAAATTCAATACAGGTCAATTGTACAGAAAGTTAAAAGAAATGATCCAAAGAGACCTTGTGATGTTAGTTGACTTTTGACTCACCGCGTTTAAACACTGTGATGTAGCAGTAAATGAGGCAAATAGTGTACTGGGTTATATTTAAAAACACTTGTTCCCCACAAGTTTAGTTCAAGCTGGACAGTGCTGTGGTCAGGCGGCACCTGGAGTACCATGTATATTGTTTCTGTAACCTCTTATAGACTAGTGCTGGAGAACACACCATTTCCACTTTTAGCACCAACATCACACAATTCTGAAACAGTCCTGCCAGATGGAGAGTAATGCCTCATCTACTTTTGTTATTACTATTATTATTATTACTTTGCTCCTAAAATTATTCCTTAACCCAATGAGATCTCACTCTATTGTTTAATTTCATCATTATTCAAAACAATGTGTGTCAAACCAACTGAGTTGATTTTATGAATTTGAAGGGACTTGTAGACTTTCCAACCTTCCAATGTTTTGTCCATTTTGCACAAACATTAATTTATTTGGATTTGCAAACAGAACTGACAGCTGTGACTGTATCAAATCCACAATTATATTAATTGTTCCAAAGGTTTAGTAACAATGTCATTAAGTGTGCATTATTTTCATGCAGTGTCAGCTTCGCGTCTGAGTCAGAAGGCTGTGGGTTCAAGCCCTGCATCAGGAATTAAACTTACATAGTCTAGGCCAGGTTGGTCCAACTCATCTGGCACCCACCCCCATTTCATCTGTCGCACCCGCTCCCTCCATAACCCGTAAATGTTATGTTATGTTACTCGAAGGGAAACACAAAAATATTTCTTATGCGGCTTGCAAATTTTTTCTTATATAAGGCATCTGGCCCACCTTTTGGCTGCTGAAGGACCACCCTGCTGAGCTGACACTCCAATGCAGTGCTGGAAGTCTGCGGCAATGTTGTAGATACCTGTTCAGTTGGACGTTAAAGATCCTATAGCACAGCTCCAAAGAGAGTCTCTCCTGGTGTCCTGTCCAACATCCCCACAAATAAAATTGGTCTTTCACCTACTTCATTGCTGTTTGTGGGACATTGCTGCGTACAAATTTGTTGCTGTGTTCGCCTGCAAAATACAGTCACTACACTTTACACTACATCCTGTGAAGTGCTCTGGATGTAAAAGTCGCTGTAGAATACCAAATGCACGGGTTATTATAATAAGAGTTACAGTGACAATCTTTCTCATTGCGTTTCAGCGTACTATGGTCAGGATGGATACTTTGGTCCCTGCGAGAACAAGTACTGTGGGCTGGGCCGGCACTGCATTGTGAACAAGGAAACGGGGCAGGCAGACTGCACCTGCATGGAACGCTGCAAACCCAACTACAAGCCTGTGTGCGGCTCTGATGGCGAACTCTATGAAAACCATTGTGAGGTTCACCGTGCTGCCTGCTTGAAGAAACAGAAAATTTCAATTGTTCACAATGAAGACTGCTTCTTCAAAGGTAGGAATGGATAGGAAACTATAAAGTGAAAATAACTAATCCGCATTCAATCTCTTAGCTCTGATCCAAACAGCTTTTGGTTTAGATCTGAGCAGTGGAGCAGCAGTTTGGTATTTATTTTTTAGTGTAGAGGAGAACATTGTGAAATGTTTATCGGAAAGATTAATCACTTTTCACAGAATTGCATAACGGTTCCCCGTGCAACATTTGCATGTGTTTCAGTCTGTAGATATTGAGTAAGGTCATTTTTTTAAATATAACAAATACCAATAAATTAAATGACATACAGTTGTTAAAAAATGGATGCCGAGGTGAGTTTGCGATTGACCTCAGTGGGCTTGTCAGATGGCTCCTTTGGTTAAAATATTTGCCTAATATGAAACTAAGCTCTTACAGAACTGCAATGCCCAAGATTTGATCCCTGCTCTGTGCTGAATTAGCAGATCTCAACTGGAGTAGTGATGGGCAGTGGGGGTGGGACTTTACTGGAGCCTTATCACCTGTAGGACAAAAGAGGAAAAGAGGAGCTGGGGTCCATGTCCTGATCATTATCCAATGATCCCACCTCCTTCCCTCGCTGAACACAGAATATTAGTGGATGTCGTATTAGGTCTGGGTTTGACTGTGACTTTGTTGAATTGCCCATTCACTATCTTGGCTCACACATGAAGAACACCCACTCTGGCGAGGTACATGAGAGGAAATGGCACTGTAGAATCATCCTCTAGTACAAGGCCACCCAGCTCCTTGGAGTGGGGGCGGAGGGGAGCTGACAAAATTTGATGGAGGACTGCTTTTAAAATAATGATGTGCGACTGCAACACAGTTTGATCCCTGCTCTGTGACACAGATGAGCACCTCTGCTTCTGTTTGTGATTGTAATTGGATGTGAGCTCTAGCTTATTTTTAGCTGAGAGAGCATTTTAGGTCTTTAACATGTTCAGAAGATGCTTGCAGTGTTTACCCAGTTATGTGGATGTTGATTTAATTTGAGGTGATTTTTACATTATTTCAAGAAAACCTTTTTTGACGTGATGCCTGAATGCTTTAATTTGGAATAAACAATACAGCCACACATAAACATTCCCTCTCAGTTCTCTGTAACTCAATAAACAACTGTACTTGGGCCAGGATAAAATGGTTCACAGCCTTTCAACTCACCTTTTAGTTCTCTTGGATTATTGCTTCAGTGCCATAATCCTTTCAGTCCTTTGGTAAAAGCATCACAAAGCAGCTGCAGTCTGCAGATGCCAAATTGAGTTCACCAATCCCTTATTCCCAGAATTTAAACATTGCACTTGGAAATTAGAACGACGGGCAGATTATAGGACAATTGTGCGTAAAATAAGTAGGGAGTTGCCTCATTGATCCTATTATTTTCTGTATTCTATTTAACAGCAAGAGAAATTTTCTAGGTATATCTTATTTACTTGTTTCTTTTAATCATAGTTGTCAATGCTCGTCCTGCTGGTTACATGTGGCTCAAGAACCTGCTGACTTTTAATCAAATAGGCTTCTCACTTTGAATTTGATGTGGTTGAAGCAAAAAAAGCATTGGTGTATTTAAGACGAAACTTAATACACACATGAGGGTGTTGAAAAGGGGAATAGGAGGATTGGAGGCTCGTGTGGCATGGAGTAGTCGGGCCAGATGGCATGATTTTGTGCTGTAATTTTCTGTGAAACTGATGTGGTGATCTAATCCCATGGGTGTTTAGTCACATCACAACTCAAGGCCTAATGGTGGTCATTAATTTGTGGGTCGAATGATCAAAGACCATAATTAAGCTCTTGGGATGATGACAAAGTTCATGATTTCTGATAAAACCATTGTGTTGTTTGATACTTAAGGAATAAACTCATTGTTAATTCAGTGGGCAAATCACATATGCATCTTTTAATATTTTAATGTGCTCTAAGTACAGGGTGAAACTTAAATAACAAATGTAAAATACACCAGTGTAGCATTTAACACATTTTTTACAGTGAATGATTTATCACGTTCAGTGATCATCTGTTGATTCACTGGCTTCATTAGATATTCCTTCAGCACAAATTAAGGCAAACATTTGAACAATGAATTTAATTGATGGACATTGCTCTTTAGCAGATACTTGGAAGACAAATGCACTGACCATTTTCTGCTGAGTAGTGGAGCCGAAGAATAGAAGACTGGGTGGTGTATTGATAGTATATTGACTTGTCTCGCAGTAATGAAATGCCAACACACCACTGACACTACCTCAAACTAGTTAGTGTTAAGGGTACGACACAGATCAATCTACTTTTTATTAATTTCAACTGTAATTTTCCATTGTATATTCTATGAAGTACTTAATCTGGATAATAAAAGATTGGTGGCAGTGCAGTATAAAGTATATAGAATGACACAGAGACTGGAATATTTAGAAAGGTAATAATATGTGGAAATAATACTGTAATCTAATAATCTAAGTGTCAAAAAATCCTGTACAAAAACATTGAATGAGTTATTTTGTTTTTTTTCTCTGATATTGTTATGTTCAGACATTCCAAGCGAGTTGCACATCTTTCCTGACACCATGTGGGAATCAGCACAGTCAGTCGCAGCCTGGCATGTGAGCGTCCCTCAGACTGGGTGCATAGGGAGCTCAATAAAGTGCTGGCACTTAGTAACCACATAAGGAGCAGAGGTTTCCCAAGGCTGGAGCAGAAAGTGATTCACCATGTCTGAGAACCAGTATTCGCCCTTAAAACATGCAGGCACTGCACTTTGAAGTATATTCTGTGAAGCACTTAGAGACATCCTCTGGACTGGAAAGTTGTTATACCAAATGTAAGAATTTATTTATATTAGCTCATGGGCATGCACTGTCCTTGTCAGAATTCATGCTCTCAGGCTATGCTGGATTTTGTGACACCGAATCCCTATTACTCTTGTCAGTTTTTGACACGTTTCTGTAGAGTAAGAGAAACTCCAGAACCATTCGACACTTTCACGTAGCCGATAGAGGTTTATTGCATATTAGGGCAGGGAAGAGGAGCTCCTAATTACAACAGTTTATATCTGTTTCTGTTAGTGAAAAAAACAGAAAGGAAAAAACACTTGCAGATTCATAGAACTTGCAGGTATAAATATCATCTAAAGCAGACGTTCTCAAACTATGGGGTATGTCTCTTTGGGGAAGCTCGGGCATATACCAGTGGAGTACAGTCCCAGGCTTTGTAGATTGGCCCCGAGTCTCAGCAAAACCATTCCTTACAACAAAATGCATATTCTTACAAAGTATAGGATTTTCAGATCTTTTGTGTTGTCTTAGTATGGGAGGCACAATTATTTTTTTCCATAGCCTAGGGAGGCTCACTGTGACAATGTTTGAGACCCTCTGATCTAAAGCAAATGCAAAACATTCTTCTTATTAGAGAGGACAGAAGAACTGAAAGTTATAGAGATATTAAAAATGTTGACACATTTCAGAGCAATTCATGGCAATAAAATAATAATAATAATAATCCTTCATTTCACATCTTCTAGACGTCTTAAAGTGCTTCACAGAGTAGACTGTAAAGTGAATTGTCTATATTTGTGGACGAAATGCAGCAGCCAATTACGCACAGCAGTGTCCCACAAACAGTCGTGGATTGAAATGACCAATTTATTATTGTTTTTTTTGAGGGATTATTATCAGGAGTGTGGAGTAAGGAAACTTGCCCAAGGTTTCGCCCTGCCAGGAATTGAACCCAGGTCTCTCACTTGCAAAGCGAGTGCTCTAACCACTGAGCTACAGGACTTCACAATTGTACATTTGTACTTCGATTTATTTGCTGCTACAAATAAAACCAAGTGAAGACGTTACGCAAATAGACAGATATAAACATGCACAAAGAAGTGACCACAAGAGAGGAATCCCTAAGCGCTTCACAGGATAAATTGTGAAGTGTGTGTTTGGTAGGAAAACAGGGTATCCAATTTGCACACTGCAAAATCCCACAAACAGCCATGGAATGAAAGGGAGATTGTTGGCCTAGACACTGGGTGAAACTCCCAAGCAATAGTACACTTACATCAATCAGTGTGACCATCAGTGTAATAAGACAGTGAGAGTATGGAACTGCTTTGAAGGATGAGGTCAATTTTTCTAACAAATGCTGATAAATGGTAAGAGCCAGGGGATCTTTTCCACTAGAGTTATAAAGCAATGTCCAAGTCTCACTGAAGCCATTGAAGTGTGAAGGTGGTTGTAACTCAAATAGACGAGACAGTAACCCTGAGCCAGGGTCACTTGAGGTAGCTTGTATTTTTGATGAGCTTCAGGTTTTTCATCATATCATTGAGGTTGGAAGGTCACTAGTTTCTTCTTGCTTGCGTTAAAAGCATTACAGTTCGAGCCATAGCTTTCTTAATGCCATTCCACCTGCAGCCTGCCTATCACTTTGACTAAAGGCTGCCCATTTTGAGTGCCATTGTTGAATGTGACCATTTGACTCAGCTGGTTGTTGCTTCGAGCACTCACATGTCATAGGAATAGTTGAGAAGAAGGAAATCATTTCAAGCCCTATATATAATTCTTGCGTTTGATATAGTGCCTTATCATGTCAGTCATTATTTTTATTTGTAGACAAACGCAGCAGCCAATTTCCACGCAACAAAATCCTCCAATCAGCAATGAAGCAAATTAGCTTTTTTTTTAATCTGAAGGATTGTTGGCCAAACTCCCTTCTCTTAAGTTTAGTTCAATGGGCAAGTTGGGTATGGCAAAATCAACAGAAATTAAGTGGGTTTCTGGGGGAAAGGTAGCCACCTGCAGTGTTGATCAGCAAGGAGATGCTGGGGTTTGTCCTTGTTGTTGGGGTTAAGAAAATTTGAAGAGTTAGTGTTATGAACCAGAAAAGGTGGTCTTGTCTCACCCTCACCTCTTCGAGCAAAGCTGAAATTGTATATATGATCATTAAACCTCAGATTGTGTTATGGCCGATGATGATGATAATAAAAATAATCCTTGAATTTGATATAGCGCTTT